TATTTTATACAATTCTAAGTATATTAGTTGGTTTTTTTTATTTTATTTACAAATAGTACCTTTTTCTAATTTTAGAATTTTAATAACTATTATTAATACTAATACAAAAATAATTACAAAACACATATTGCATTACTTTTGTGTGTTTTTAATAAAGAACAGATCATATGATTTTGCTATATAAATATATATTTAAATATAAATTTTATTGTTAATGTTGAATCTTATATAATATTAGAATTGATTGATAATTAAAAAACAAAAAAGATAATCATCTTAACTTTTTTTAACGATCTTCTGGCCAATGATAACAAGAAACTGAATTACAGAAAAATGATATAGGAATGTCTAAGACAGATACTTATAAGTTTTATCATAGAGTAAACAGTTGTTGACAAAGTCTGAAGATGTGAAAGACCAAGAAGCAGACATACTTTGAGCAGTTTTTTTTGGGGCTAAACCTTTCTACTTTAATATAGACTCCCTAAGTTATTCGGTATCCAAACCAAAAGGATATTTTGGAACTAATCTTACCTATATATAGATTGTTGTTGATGAAGTTTAAGAAATGTGATATACTAAGGAGCAGGTTAACTTGAATAGTTTTTTTTGGGATCAAGTTTTCTTCTCTTTCTATCGATAGACTCTTTATATATTTGGTATTCAAACCAGAAGGACTATTTTAGAAACAAGTAGAGTTAAAAGACTTTTGCTGAGATAATTGAAGCTTGAAGAATAGCCTATACAACTGTAAAACTTACAGAAAAAACTTACACACTCTCATTGTTTCTCCACTTTTTTTTAGCGAAAATTTTGTAAAAAAGTGGACAACTTAGCTTACCCTCTTCAAAAGATCAATATATTATTTACTTTCCAAATTGGTCAACATTATTTACTTATATCTGTCACAACAAATATATAGATATATATGGGCTACGATCATGTGAATTATGTGCTTCTAATGTGATACTCAAAACAAACAATATATCTAGACCAACAGTGCGATTTCTGATCTCTCTACGGTGATTAAATCGAAGAACTATTTTTTCCTTGCTTTAAAGTTTTTTTCTTAGATAAACTAATTATATAAATTTAGAGTAGAGACTAGTTTAGATAGTAGTATGTAATTTTTATAGAGCTCAATACAGGCTTATAATTGTAACCATCTACTGCAGGGTAATTTCTATTTTTTTTGTTTTTTATTTTTACCATACCTCTTTCTTTTCTTATATATATTTATTTTTATTTTTTCTTCTATACCTCTGTATTTTTTTTTAGTTTAGTTTTCTTTTTATTTAGATAAGACTCTAAGCAGTTAATAGGCTATGAAGGTCATTCTAGTTACTGGGCTAGCTACTATATTACTTTATTAGTATAGCTAATTATATATGAACACTTGGATAACTTAGTCATGTTGAAGCAGCTATATGATGTCAGGCTACAGATTTTATTGCTATATTGTCTTTGGCAGCGACAAGGCTTTAATACAGTAAATATAGATTCATAATGTGATTAGTCAAAGTCTCAAAAAAAAAAAAAAAGAAGACCTATATGCATTAATACTTTATTTAAATCAGATGTTTTATAGAATAGGTGGGCAAACTCCACCAACTTTGCAACTCTAATATTAAAAAATTAATGATTACTAATTATTAGCGAAGCTTATTTCTTATATTGCCTATATATTCTATAGAACATCCTTTAAATCTTTAAGTGATTCCTTAGGTTTATTCATTTTATGATAAATTTTATTATATATAACATCACTGGTTGATCTTTAATATAGATAGGCAAATATATTTATTATATAATTATAATATATATAAATAAACTATTTTGAACTATTTAAGCTATTTTATAGATTGTTAGAGTTAGAATTAAAGTTAAAATATAAATTGACTTAAATTAATAGGTTTTTTATATTATAATTTTGTAATAATTTATATATACCCACCTATACTAAAGAAGATCCATTTGTTTTTCTACAATCTTGTAATTAAAAAAAATGATCAAAAAACTGATTGCTTGAAGGTTTAGCAAGGGTTGGTTGTCTAATAAAGTTGAGTAAGCTAACCTAAAGAAGAATAGTAAATTTTATTACTTTCTGTTGCTACTCTATTACTGATGAAGTAAGAGCTTATCTTGCAAAAAATAAAATATTAAAATTAAGTGTCTACTATTCATTGAATATTTTGAAACTATAATTTAATATCAAAGATTAAAAAAAACTCTATTTAAGTGACAGTTATTGAAAAGCACAGCTTGATTTTGCAAAAAAATACAAAAATTGAACTATTGACGATTGGTTTAAAGTAATTTAGTTCAATAAATTAAAGTTTTAAATTTTTAAGTTAGATAATAAGCAGTACTATTAGAAGTGTCATAAAGAACTATTAAACTAATTTTTTGTGAAGTCTATCATTAAATATAAAGGTGATTCAGTAATAATTTGGAGGTGCTTTAGTATTTGTAGTGTTGATAGCTATAGTAAGATTGATAGCACAATGGATAACAACTTGTATTGACAGATACTTTATAAAGATTTGATGTAGACAATTAGAGAGCAAAAATTTGATATTAAGAAGGTTATTTTTTAACAAAATAGAGCATCTTGTTATAAGCCAATCTTGACAAATATTGGTTTCAAAGAAATAAAGTTAAGATCTTTGATTGGCCTTCAATTTCCCAATCTTAATCTAATTGAAAACCTGTAAGATAAAATTAACTATTACTTTAAAAGTCTATTTAGTTAAATTTCAAGTAAACCAAATTTTTAAGAAAAGATCTAGATAGTCTGGCAGGCAATTAATGTTAAAACTTGCAGAAGACTAATTTATTTAATGCAAGAATGAATTTGTGCTGTAATTAAAGCTCAGAGTGGTTACACTTGATCGTAAAAGTAAAAAATTTTTAGATAAAAAAATTTATTTTTATGTAAAAAAATTTTTTTTGTTTTACAATCATGTTGCTATAAAAATGGATACAAGTAATGCAATATAACCTTTGAAATAAAGCTCATGCCTATAAAAAATTTTGTTTATTAAATTTTTTTAATTATTTTATTAATAAAATGTTGTTGTTAGTGAATAAAATAAAAAAAACTAACTGATACACCTGAAATTGTATAAAATAATATGATTTAAGTAAAATTTTTTTTGTTGTACTACTTATAATTACTAGTATAATAACTAATCATAAAAAAAATCATAAAAAAGATGCCTGCTAAACTGTCAACTATCTGCTATGTTTATTCTTACACAAAACAGATTACTCAAGAATTTATTATAAAAGAGATAATAGATATTGTAAGACTACAAGATGATAACCCAACCAAGATAATATACTTAAATGTAAAAGCCTTCCTCTCTGTAAATGAACCAACAAATAATCTTATAAATAAACATCAACATACACAAAGACACCTGCTACTTCCAAATTAACTGAATAAGCTGTCACTGAACACAATTCCTCATCCAAAATTGTTTTGCCCTCATCATTCATAAGATGTTAGATTTGACCCCATATAAAGTCTCACTCTTGCTAGACAAAAACATATTCTCCCTGGGCCAAGCCTATGTCACCCTAAACAGGTGCTCTACTTGGAACAATCCACCTTGACAGATCAGTTTTTAATGCCAACCAAAATGTAATCAAAGAATACCAAAGATTAGAAAACATCGCTGTGACAAACCCTACTCTGATTTCTTGAACGCCTTTCCCAAATGAAACAAAAAAAAAAAAAACTACAGACAAATCACTATAATTACAAAAAGAAAAAACTATCACACACAAAAATTAACTACTTAACAATATGAAACCTTCAAATTATCTTCGTAAAGACAAGATAAAATATAACAACTAACGATCAAACATCCAAATTACGTATTAACTCGACCAATAACATCAATGTACTACATAACCACACACACCACGTGAAAATCGATTAAAAAACTGGCTATATAGTTAAAGTGCAATTTCCGAATTAGAGCTGCGACAAAACTGACTAATCGGGAACTAGGTAGAATCCCGAATAGTATTTATTGAGTTTTGCAAAAGATTTGATTCCATAATGCCAAACACTTTCGACATTTAATTATTATGGCTAATAATCACAATTTTTTCTCGGTTAAGACGCGTATGAATTTGGTCTGAGTTTTCTTAGAATTACACTTGCTGCAGTGGTTATATAGATTTAGGTGATTAGGTCCTTAGTAAGAATCAAATTACCTAAATCCGTAACTGGTCCATGCAATTTTTGAATCTGTGCCCGGTTATGCATGATGCCGATCACCATGTAAAATTCTTTAAAGTTCATTAATGTTAAGGTTAGCATTTTGTATAAAGTTAAAAGCTAAGTGGTTTTATAGTAAAATCGCACAAGGAAAACTTTTTGTTAGTGCACTAAAGGCGGTTTACTATACAGATTTTTGAGAAAGAAGCGATTTTTGGCAAAACGAACGTTTGTTTTGATTGTGCTATGTTACACCTGATTCTCAAATCTGATTTGTAGATCATGCATAATCATGCATAACCGGGCACAGATTCAAAAATTGCCTGGTCCATATAATGATCTACATACTGCATAAATTCTACCTGCAACAAAAAAAGTAACCCTAATTTGTACCTGGATTTAACGTCCCCACATAACAGGTAACTATCGAATTTCGCCGGTAAAAGCCTCGAAGTATTATTTCCGATTTATACTGGATTGAATTTTATTAGTATGTCTCCCATTTTCGAACTTAAATAAGGTTGGAGTATAAAATCTGTTTTTATTCATCCATCTCATCAATTAACAATGATTGAGCTAATCAACAATGGAGGATTATATAAGTCTGAGTTTTTATTTTTTAGGCAATTCTATTCGATAAACTTGATCGGAAGGTTGATTTTAATAATTTATAGCATAGATTTAACAAATTTTTACACTATTGAAATTTTGATTACTATTCAACTTAAAAAAAGCAACTCCGACATGATCTCACCAGTAATTTGAAAATTCACAATGACGACAAAAAATCTTCCAGATTCAAACCACTTATTGAACCTTTGGTTTCATCTTTCATTCTTTTTTCCTCGGCTAATAATTGTTGAAGCTGAGTTTTCTGCTTTTTGTTCTTTGGTTTATTGCTATCAGCAAAATTTTGGTTTTGAATCGATACTGATCCTTTACCAGATACTTCGGGTGTTTGTGTCACCGATATAGGCGTTGTGGTGGTGACATT